ACACACAACAGACTGAGAACAGACACACAACAGACACACAACAGACCAACAACAGACACACAACAGACCAACAACAGACCCACAACAGACCAACAACAGACACACAACAGACCACAACAGACACACAACAGACCGACAACAGACTGAAAACAGACTGAAAACAGACCCACAACAGACTGAAAACAGACCCACAACAGACTGAAAACAGACTGAAAACAGACCACAACAGACTGAAAACAGACACACAACAGACCACAACAGACCAACAACAGACTGAGAACAGACCAACAACAGACCAACAACAGACACACAAAAGACCGACAACAGACTGAAAACAGACCCACAACAGACTGAAAACAGACCCACAACAGACCCACAACAGACACACAACAGACTGAGAACAGACACACAACAGACCAACAACAGACTGAAAACAGACCCACAACAGACCCACAACAGACCCACAACAGACCCACAACAGACCGAAAACAGACCCACAACAGACCCACAACAGACTGAAAACAGACCCACAACAGACCGACAACAGACACACAACAGACCAACAACAGACTGAAAACAGACACACAACAGACCAACAACAGACTGAAAACAGACTAAAAACAGACCCACAACAGACCACAACAGACTGAAAACAGACCCACAACAGACCCACAACAGACCGAAAACAGACCCACAACAGACCGACAACAGACTGAAAACAGACCCACAACAGACCCACAACAGACCGAAAACAGACCCACAACAGACCCACAACAGACTGAAAACAGACCCACAACAGACCGACAACAGACACACAACAGACCCACAACAGACCCACAACAGACCAACAACAGACTGAAAACAGACTGAAAACAGACTAAAAACAGACCCACAACAGACCACAACAGACTGAAAACAGACCCACAACAGACCCACAACAGACACACAACAGACTGAAAACAGACCCACAACAGACTGAAAACAGACCCACAACAGACCCACAACAGACTGAAAACAGACCCACAACAGACTGAAAACAGACCCACAACAGACCCACAACAGACTGAAAACAGACCCACAACAGACCGACAACAGACACACAACAGACCCACAACAGACCCACAACAGACCAACAACAGACTGAAAACAGACTCACAACAGACCCACAACAGACCCACAACAGACCCACAACAGCTGCAGATCTCTGATATAAGGGCTGTTCTTCTTCATCTCTGTGTTTTTTTCTCTCTTTAAAGGCGCAGCAGTATTTTTTTAAAGGGATGGTTACAGCTGGGCGTGTTCGCCTCCACAGATCCTGATCAGCTGCTGAGAGATCCGGCGTGTGAGCTGAGCTACAGTTTTCTGCAGACCAGGCGGACTCTGACACATAGAAGTCTAGAAGTAGATTTCCTCCTCTGGAAGGACACAATCTACTGCTTATATGTCTATGTGTCTGTCGTTAGAGAGACGACTAGTTATCGTGAGATTGAACGTGAATCTGCAGGTTCTCCTGATTCCTGCGTCTCTAATCCTCCACTAATTCACCTCACAAACGGATCCAGTAGGAACTGTCAGACGGTGAAAATCGCTGCAGTTCCAGATCACAGCTGTTTTGGGTGTGGTGGAAATCCCGGGTTATTCCTCAGTAGACCGCCAACGTAAACCGGGTCGGGATTTGAGTCCAAGTCCCTGAAAAGAGCGGGATCATGTGGAAGAGTGGATCACGTCTGCTGAAGGCCGTAGCCTCGCTCGCTTGTCGGTTCTCCTGGTGGTTCCTCTGAGACGGTCTGACATCCAACTCATTGAACCTCGCCTCAAAAACACTGAAATGTCCCTTTAATAATGAGGCTGCCCTGAATGTTGGATGCAGATGTTTCTGGATGACGGGAGGCCGTCGTGGTCGGGGAAACGTCCCGGTCTTTCTCAGACTTGTTGCTGTTGTTGAAACTCCAGAAAATCTCTTTCTGCTCTTTCTTTCTCTCCCAAACACGAGCTGTCAGACTCTGATCCTTCAGACTTTTCTTTTCCTGGAGGATCAAACTCACGGCGCCGTCAGACTGATCTGACGCTGCAGCAGAGACCGCCTTCACTTCTGCTGGTTCCTCTGTGGGTTCATCAAACCGGTTTCTGTTGTCTGCTGTGGGACTCTGGGACTGGATTCAGTCTTCCCCAAATACCGATGGAGTCCTCGTTGTCCTACTTCTCATCATGACAACATTTCTCCTCCTGTCTGTTGTCGACTCAGCCCACAGCTGTCAAAACTCGGCTGAGACTGACGGTCTGAGACTCAGACTGAGACCAAAACCTCCAGAGACCAGAGGCTCAGCTGGACTTCACAGAGGAGGAGGTCTGCAGGAAGAGTCCGGATCTGGGGGTGTATATATATGTGTGTGTGTGTGTAGATAGACAGATAGAGTATTATAAAAACATATATATATATAAAATATTTATGTTTCTCAGCCCCAGGAGCTTCACAACCTTAAAAATAAAATGATAAAAT